GAGGGTTCAGTCGAGGGGTTTCCAGCTTTGGGTTTTTTTGGCCCTTCCTCAACGCTGCCCCTTGTCAGCCGTGCAGTAGCGACTCCGCAAAGCCCCTTAAAGAACTCTAGATGCCCAAGCTCAGGTTGGAACGCCATTCCTGCGACGCCAGTCCCGCTCGCTCCGCACGCCAACGAGTCAGACCCCGTCGATGCCTTCGTAGCTTGGTTGCCAGCATTGCACTCTAAAATTGGCACTTCTAGTCACTTCTATGCATTGCATGTCACTCATAATAAGGTGATGAGCCATTTGGCGCTGGCAAACCCAAGTCTTTATTGGGTCCTTCATCGTCTGCAATGTGACGGGGCCAGCTACGCTGTGCCTTGTCTGTGGCAGTACGAAGTTCCATGGTTGACGCCTCACGCGTACTGAACCGTGAACCCAGGTCGTGCTGAGCGTCCTTCGGCACCCCAACACGGTGCTCGCGAAGGCCTTCGCCGAGGAGCTGGTTCAGAAACTCGTAAGTATCTTGGACTGCGTACAAAGGGATACTGTGTGCACGGTTGTCAGATTCATGTTTGATTCTTTCCCGGATTCCCCTCCCTCCCCAACTTCCGATCACTGAGGACAGTTCATTGGCTACAAGGACAGTCACACCTATTCTGACCCCAACTACGTGATCGCTTCTTGGTCTCACGAGAAATGCTACCTGCTCAGCCACTGGACTTGAATCATTCAATGTCAACTGGCAGTGCAGTCATGACACACCTATTTTCTACATGTTTACATCACATCATCTGAGTGAGCATCCCTGAAACAACTGAGTGGCGACACACCCGCAGAGTTGGGACTTTTCCAGAAGCGAATGGTGCGACATGTTGCAGAAGCGGCGGGCGCCAGACTTGACAAAGCCACCACCGCCGCCTCGTGATGCTCCAGTAGCTCGAAGAGGATGTATTCAGGGCTTTGTTAAGGTTTAGAGTGAGTGGAGGGTTTAGTCAACTTTGGTGCCATTTGGGTTTCTTTCGTATTTAGGGTTTAGGGCTTAGAGGGGGTGTGGTTAGGCAAGCTCCAGCGGCAGTGGCAGCCAGACCATGACGCAGCCAGCAACAGCAACTCAGATGCTTTTTTCAAGTTCTTTTTAATCCCCCCCCCTCCCCCTCCCCTTCACCCCCCCTCCCCTTCCCCCCCCTCCCCTCCCCCCTCCCCCTCCCCCTCCTCACAACGCAGGCACCTGGCCAGACAGCTGCCCCCAAGGCCCAGCAGAAGCCAGCGGCGGTTGCTCAGCCATTTCATTGGAGCTGTTCATTTTAGGTTGGTTTTAGGGGTTTGGGCTTTTTCCGTGTTCTTAATAAAGGGATGGGGTTAAAGGGTCTACATTCATGGCTGCAGGGGAATCAGGGATAATTTAATGTCGACAAGTTAGAGCGTCCTGCTATGTCCTGCTGAGGACACCAAAAGGCGAGACCACGGCCAGACAGCTGGCCCCAAGCCGCAGCAGCCAGATGGCAGCCAGACGCCTGCGGTTGCTCAGCCATTTCATTGGAGCTGTTTTTTGGGAGGTTTGGGTTTTTTCGGTGTTCATGGTATCAAAAGTCTAAATTCAGGGCTGCAGGATAATCAGGGTGATTTTTGTTGTGTCGACAAGTCAGAACATTGCGCTATGTCGCGCTCAGGACACCAGAGCTCGAGATCACCAGACAGCTGGCCCCCAGCCTCAGCCGCAGGCCCGAGATCATGGCCAGACAGCTGGCCCCCAGCCTCAGCCGCAGGCAGACAGCGGCCAGACGCCTGCTGTTGCTCAGCTGTTTCATTACAGCTGTTCTTTAGGGGTTTGGCCTTTTTCTGTGTGGGTTCAAAGGGTCTGCATTCATGGCTGCAGGATCATCAACATCAGCAGCAGGGCCAGCAAAACTGGACATCCTCGCAATCCCAGTCCCAGCGGCAGTGGCAGCCAGACACTTGCTACAATAAGCAACTTGCAATGTCAGGTTCATGTGCTGCGGTTGGTCATGCTAGTCTTTTCCTGCGGCTGCCTGAGCTTCTGTGTCTGTGTGTAATTAAGGACAGTTGGAGTCAGAGAGGAGATGGCTCCTGGTGGGGCCAGACCGATGGATGGCAGCAAGGCTGGCAGACTGCTGGGCGGCAGAGTCAGACTGATGGTCAGGGCTGGCAGTGGCAGAGTCAGACTGATGGTCAAGGCTGGCAGGCCGATGGGTGGCAGAGTCAAGGCTGGCAGGCCGATGGCTGGCAGAGTCAGAATGATGGTGACGGATGGCGCTGGCGCAGGCAGGGGCCGTAAGACGGTTCTAAACTCGTGCTAGCAAGACAGCCTCTTCAACATGTAAATAATTGTAATCGGCTGATTCACTGATTCGTGGGACTGCGGCCTCTGTCTGTCTGCCAGACTGGACCTTTTATTAATTCGGGAAGAATCTTCTCCCTGGATCCAATCAGTGCTGCTCTGCTTTCTGCCGACTACGGCCTGCCCAGAGCGATGTGCTCCGCATTCTGCCGAATTACGGCCTGCCCGGAGCGATGCGGTGAAAACTATTTCTGCCCATGTTTCTGTTTGCGATTCTGTGCTGATTCACAAGATCCGAAGCGAAACAAATTGTGCAATCCAACTCCTGCAGGCCAAGCGTCTGGGCTGCCTCGATGCCCTTTGCTCCAGCCGGGCGCCCCAGGAATCCGGCTTCAGAACTTGAGGATTAGGTTGTTCCGGGGAATCCACGTGTGCCAAACATGATGTGGGCAGCCGTTCGCCACCATCCATGCAAAATCATGCAACACTGGGCTCCGGGACACGTTCGTGCCACGAAACCAACTTTCGGCCTTGGGTTCGGGAATGTCAGTTTTTGCCTTGGGGTTTAAGGTAGGAAACATGCACCCAATCAACAATTTGCAAGGTTTCAGGAGAAAGAATGAGTCAGTGAGCGGCGTAAACTGAAACCCGAAACCTGGTCTAGGAAGCAAAGCGAACCCGACCCTAAATTAAGCTGAAAGTCGGTTTCGTGCCTTAAAAGTCTCCCGAAGCCTGTGGTTTTTACAGTCCAATCAACTAAGAGTACGACTACAAAGAGAGAAACAACACGACACTCACAACAACCTAAGCCCTGAACCTCTTCCAGGATGCAAGCTGACAGCCTTTGGCGGGGCCTTGGGCGGAGCCTTTGGCGGTGGCCCTGGAGGCAGGGGTGTTGCCGGACGGTTTCGTGCCACGAAAGTGTTGCAGAGCTTGGTTTTGCATGGATGGTGGCGACAAACGCCTTATTCCTATGAAACTGCAGGTTTCTTCTAAATTCCATGCAAAACCAACCTCCGGGACACTTCCGCGGCACGAAAGTGCCTTTCAGCTGTGTTTCCTAGACTTGGTTAAGGGTTTCGGTGTTACTCTGCCCCAGTCTGACAGTCTGATTCCTTTTTTCAAGGCTAACAAGTTATTGATTCCAAACCGTCCTTTGCAAATTCCATGCAAAACCAGCCTCCGGGACACTTTCGCGGCACGAAAGTGCCTTTCAGCTTTGTTTCCTAGACTTGGTTAAGGGTTTCGGTGTTACTCTGCCCCAGTCTGACAGTCTGATTCCTTTTCAAGGCTCACAAGTTGTTGATTCCAAACCGTTCTTTGCATTCCGAATTCCAGGCCAAACCAAGCTCCAGGACACTTTCGTGGCACGAAACTGCCTTTCAGCTTTGTTTCCTAGACTTTGTTTCGGTGCGGTTACTCTGGCCAGACAGTCTGATTCCTTTTGCAAGTTGTTGGTTCCAAACCGTTCTTTGCACCCTAATTCCAAGCAACACCAAGCTCCGGGACACTTTCGTGGCACGAAACTGCCTTTCAGCTTTGCTTCCTAGACTTGGTTTCGGTGTGGTTACTCTGGCCAGACGGTCTGATTCCTTTTGCAAGTTGTGGATTCCAAATCGTTCTTTGCACCGTAATTCCAAGCAAAACCAAGCTCCGGGACACTTTCGTGGCACGAAACTGCCTTTCAGCTTTGCTTCCTAGACTGGGTTTCGGTGCGGTTACTCTGGCCAGACAGTCTGATTCCTTTTGCAAGTTGTGGATTCCAAATCGTTCTTTGCACCCTAATTCCAACCAAAACCCAGCTCCGGGACACTTTCGTGGCACGAAACTGCCTTTCAGCTTTGTTTCCTAGACCTGGTTAAGGGTTTAGGTGCGGTTACTTTGTGCAGTCTGATTCCTTAATATTCAAGGCTACCAAGTTGTTGATTCCAAACCGTGCTTTGCAAGCGAATTCCAAGCAAAACCAAGCTTTGGGACACTTTCGTGGCACGAAAGTGTCCCAAAGCTTGGTTTCCTGCACCAGGTTAAGGGTTCAGGGCAGGATGACTACGCTCATAAGAAAACGTACAAATGGCCTTTCATTCCCTGCAAAACCAAGCTCCGGGACACTTTCGTGGCATGAGAGCGGCTTCGGGCTTGTTTCCGAGGCTTGTTATAGGGTTTAGGGTTTAGGGTTTAGAGGGCTGGAGGGTTTCGAGGGTTTTGAGGCTTTCGAGGGTTTTGAGGGTTTGTTGGGGTTTTGAAGCTTTTTAGGGTTTACCTGCAGGCTTCATTCCGCGCAAGACCATGCTCCGGGACACATTCCAGGCACGAAACCGGCTTTGAGCAGTTTCCTGGACTGGTTTCCAAGTCAGGTTTAGCATGAAGGATCATGGATTTAGCGTTATACATTGCAGAGTTCATTGACAGTCATGACATAGAAGCATTTCTCCTGGTACGGCTGCTTTGTTACAGCCGTGCTGCTGTGCTGCTTGGAGCAAGACCGCTTGTTAAGTGCTGGCATTTCTTGTGGCGTTTTCAGACAACGTTCAAGCTCTGGCAGGCCGATTGGAATTTCACGATGCTTCAATTCCACTTTCTTTAGCCGCATTGCCAGATTGCTTCGCATGTGCTAGACCCACAGGTGTTGCTTTGCACATCGCTAGCATAAGCTGAGCTAGAGCAGGGGAACGTAGTTTCTGCTGCCATTGCCGGCCGACTACTGGCTGTTTACGGGATGCGCTCCAAGATTGTGAAGGGCAAGATAATCCCGGCGGGGAAGCTGGAGTCAGACAGCAAGGTTGAGTCTGAGGCCAGTTCCTGTCGTCAGACTGGCTCGAAGATTGCGAAGGCCGAGGTTCAGTGTGGCCTAGTGGCAGCAAAGAAGGTGAAGGTAGAGAAGATCGACCATGGCCCAGCTGTGAAGAAGCTGAAGGAAGACATCAAGTCCGAGTGCAAGACCGTGAAGAAGCGGACGCCAGGCAAAAAGTCCTCAGGCCAGACGTCCGTTCGTGTCGAACGTGACAAACGGCTTCTCAAGAAGCCTTTCCAGATCCCCAGGGCAAAGTTCAAGAGGCTTTGCCATGCCATTGTCGCGAATTTGGCGTCAGACCAGGACATCCAAAGCTCACATAAGCTGAGCCCGGAGGCCTGGGACACGTTGCGCACAGCAGCGGAGTCCTTTATCAGCTACGAAGTCTTTCGTCAGGCCAGATTCTCGCGTCAGACCAACAACCCCAAAAGAAAGACAACGCTCCTGCGCGACTTTAAAGTGGCCTTGGCGATAGATGGAAGGTAGGCAGCAAGACAGTTGTAGCCTGAGCTGTCAGACAAGTAGCCAGCAATACAGTTTTTGCCTCGACTGTCAGACAAGTAGCCAGCAACACAGTTTTGCCTTCAACTGTCAGACCATGGCGCCATTGGGAAGCCAAGCACAGCAGGGGCTGCGTGTGCAGTGTGAAAAGAAACCGGTTGGATCGTTGATGTTGTTTTGCACTACCTTGCCGGCTGGGCAAATAGCTCTTGTAGTCTGCCTGTGGCAGGCTGCTGGACATTCAGCTCGACGCTGCTGCCGGAGTTTGGTGTTTGAAGGCTGCTGGAGTCTCAGCTCACAGTGTTTCTTCCTTGTCGGGGCTTGGGGTTCCTGAAAGTCAAGCCCTTCAAAACCCGAATCAGCATTAGCATTGCTGCACGCTGCGGTTGTGTAGTGCCATGCTCTCCGCCTTCAGATTTTGAGTTCGGGCCTGCTACTTAGGCTTGCAACTTAGACTTAATCTGACCAGGGTGCAGTGTAGGTTTTAGTTTAGTGGTGTTGGGTTTAAAAAATTAGGGGTTGAGCTTTCGGGAACTCGACCACAGTGCCTGCAAGACACATGGCCCATCATGTCGCAGCCTTGTGGGCATGTCATAGATTTGGATGCGCTGAACGACGACGATGCTTCTGACATGGATGTGTCTCAGCACAGTGTCATGGACGTGGACGAAATGGACGTGGAGGAGCCAGACATCCCACAGCATGTGGGCCCTGGGCCAGACACCCTGCCAGGTATCATGCAGGCTTTTCGCTGGCCGTACCTCGCAGCTCAAGCGCTGGGCCGGCATATGCTGCCTGCCCAACTGCAACGGTCGTGTTTGACCAGAACCTGGAGAGTGTCGACCCATTTCTCTGGTCTGGGTTCTGCTGAGCTGGCGTTGCAGCTATTGGAGCACGCTGCTGCTGGTCTTACTGGTGGTGTGGGTCCTCAGTTTAACCTTGTCTCAGCTTGCGAGAAACAACCAAGTCGCCAGAGGGTGCTTCGAACACGGCTGCCCCAGGATTGCCATATATTCGATGACATCATGGAGAGATTTCGGGACTTGCCGGAACTTTCCGAGACAGTGGACTGGAGGGGCATCTGGAGCAGAATGCCAGACGCTTTTCTCGGTCAGGGTATCGCTGCAAGATGCAGGCAGCACTTACACTCGCAATGCCGACTGGCAGCCCCGCCAGACCTGGATATTTCTGGATCGCCCTGCCAGGTGTGGTCGTCCATGGGCTCACGTGGGGGGTCGCAAGACAACCGAATAGTGTTGTTCCTCGCATGGGCTTACCTAATTCGGACGGGTGAATGCAAGATTATCATCCACGAGAACGTGTCTGGGTTCAAAGAGGGCATCCTGTTAGAGTTGCTGTCAGACACGTTTGAGGTGGTGACTTTGGAAGTACATCCTTGGCATTGCGGTTTCAGGATCATAGCCAGACCAAGAAAGTACTCTGTGCTTTTTCGCCGGCGCAACATTGAAGTAGTGTCAGACGTCCATGAGGTGTACCGTCAGCTTTCGCAATCCTTGGCGGACTGGCAGAAGCAGCCGGATCTTGAAGAATTCTTGTTGACTTCCGAGCAGGGCCTGTTGCAAGAGGAGAACCAGGCCAGGGCCAGCAAGAAGTTGCCAGCTGTCAGTGGCTGCAGTGATTCATGGGCTTACCTGCCCTTGGTCTGAACTTTAAGGGTAGATTCTGGCCTTGTTCATGCCCAGACTGTGTTGCCCTTCCAACTCCAAACCTTCAAAGGCCCGAGTTAAACAAACCTGGAAACCTTATATAATATATGCAGCCTAAACTATTGAAACCCTGCTGTCCCTACCACTGACATTAGTTCTCGAAGTTCTAAGGTTGACAGACAAGCAACGTGGCTATTTGCAAAAGTACCAGGAGCAAGGCGCTGTGCGTCAGACCAGGAATGTCGTCTATGACCTGAGCCAGAACCCAGAGAAGAGGCCAATACAGACTTCGCAGCAGACAGGAAGTTTGCCATGTCTGAGAAGTGGTTCCCTCTTGTGGATGCCAGACCGGAGGAGATGGCTTGTAGATGCGGAGCTGGCCGCTTTGATGGGATTTCCAAGCAGCGAGCCTCTGAAGAACTTGTACGGGGTGCCAGACATCTTTTGCCCAGCCCGGTCTCAGGTAGGCACTGCCATGCATGTGGGATGTGTTGGGCTGGTCGCACTTGTCGCTCTCGCGTGTGCACGAGACCGGTCGTAGTTCTTGTGCATAGTTATGATGTCGTGGCTGCTGCAAGACCAGTCATGACCAGGTGTCACATGAGTATGAACACTTGCTTTCTCGAAGCCCGACGCAGTGCAAAAACAATGGCTTTGTGGGGATTGCTAGATGTGCATCATTCCTGGCCATGACACATCATTGCTGTAATATGAAAGCCCCACTTCACACCCACGACTACGTTATGTCTGTGTCGTCTACACTAGACTGTAGCTTTTCTGCATACACACACGCGCACAAGGGGATGCCGAAGCTGCTGTTTCAGCCAGAGCCTGCAAAGCGTAAGTCTCAGCCAAAGAGAACCCCCCCCCCCATTTTCGTCATGTGCGTCGAAGTCAGGCCTTCGGCCAGTTTCAGTCGCTGGCTGCCGCCGCAGACAGTCCTGCCAGAGCCTCGACAGAGCAACCCTTCTGTTCTATGCCAGACAAAATAACACGGCCCCAACATCTGACGGCAGGGGGTTCCGAACCACGAATTTCGGTTGTTAATGGCTGCGGGACTAAATGAAGAAGCCTGAAATCCTGGCGGCTGGGGGTTCCGAAGCCCGAACTTAGGTTTACAACGGTTGTATCCCTATTTTTTTGGTTCGGAACCCCCGCGGCGGCCGAAACACGCACCTGGAGGTTACTCTTGTTCCACCAACAGTTTAGTTTGCTAGTGGTTGGGCCCCTAAATTCGGGGTTCACTTGATGCAACATGGTACTTGGCAGCTTGGCATGCAATTTGTGCGTGAGATTGAGGCTGTCAGACTTGCTTGCCAGGGTCCCTCTGGAACAACCCAGAAGATAGGAGCCTAACCACTAGCAAGCTAAATTTGGGGTTAGTCGCAAGCAGGTGTGCAAATCAGGTCTGGGAGGGCCCTGCCGTTCACAGAAACTTCGTCCGCAAAGGGGTTGCTCCGACTCCTGTGTCAGACGGGCCATGGCGCTGCGCCCTATCTCCTGTGGGTATGAACGTTTCCGGCTGGAAGACCTTTCGCTCAGCATCGAGTCCGGCCACCGTGACATTGATGAGGCCGGCAGCTTGAAGCAGTCATTCAGTTCTGACCTGTAGGGTTATGATGCCGTGCTGAGTTTTGCTTTGACAGGACAGAGTCTCCGAGCTTCTCGCCAGACTGCAAGCAGGTGAGTTCGGAACTGCAAGATCGGTTGCCCAGCCCACTGTCAGACTCGACAGTGAAGGAAACCAAATGCGCTGCCCCGATGGCCTGCTGAAGTTGGCTGACGGGAAGCAGTGGGTGTGCGCACTCGTTCGTGCCAAGGTCATCTGGCAAGACGCAGAGCAGTCAGACTGGGTCACTGCTCCCCTTCTTGAGGTCTTTCAGATGGGCCTTCCGATGGAGAAGATCAAGTTCCAGGATGATGATGAGGCCGCCGTCAGACTCTTTTGGTCCATGTCCCACGAAGGTGAGAACACCAAGGTGCGTGCCCACAGCGTGCACTTGAAGGTGCAGATCTGCAAGACCTTCATGGAGAAGACGCCTGGCGGAGACACCGCCAAGGCTGAGGCTGCCATGGTGGCGCAGCTGGGGCCATCCAAACGATCCACAGTGCACCTTTGGATGAAGGCTGCAATTACACTGACAGACTCTACTTTGTGCTTGCTGGCAACACGACACTTTCTGTGAATTCAGTCGTTTTTAAGTTGTCTTGTCAGTGGTCTGGCTCCCAGTTCCTTGTTTCCGATGTGCTTGGTGGCCAAGGACCTGACCTCACCCAAGGATACGTCTTCGGCAACCCTTTCCTGACTGGCTTGGGTGAGGAATCTCGCGCTGCGGTTGCACGTCAGTGCACGGTCGTGATGCATGTGTGCTTCGCAACTCATCTTTTGGTCAATGCTGAGGTCAGAGGCTTTCGGTGGATTTCGCCGAAGCTTCCTTGAGATGCCTATTCGACACGCTAGACCTGGACAGGGGCGTCACGAAGGAGCAATTCAAGACCGATTTCTGTGCGCCCATGCTGAGAGCACCTCGGCTCGCTTACAGTGCCTGCTGCTAGTCTAGTCTACGAGCATTAGAGGGGGGCACTGACAAACTTAGGCCCAGAACTGGGCGAAGCTCACAACGCAGAAGTACGGCTCGGTTGTGAAGCAAGTCCCTTCTTTCGATCGCACTGTAAAGATGCTTATTTCAGAGCGGGGCCGTGTGAAGATCATGCTGCTTGCAGGCAATGGCTCAGCTAGCTTTGAGGTGTACAGTGCTGTGAATTCTTTGCCTCTTTCACTTGAGTTTACGAGTCATAAGGAATTGCATCCTTGCCGGACATCCGCTGAATGGCAAGGCCAACATCCCCAACTCTGGAATCGAAGAGTGTCGCAAGACGATCGAAGCCCTCGAGGAGAAGAAGAGCGGCAAGACTGATTCTGGAGGGCATGCGTCAGATGCTGCCGCGGAGGAGCCTGTCAATCAGGATAAGCCAGACGACCAGCAGCATGAGGACGTTGACATGCTGGCAGACCATGCGTGCGACGTGGTGGTGGCCCCTGAGACTGAGCCTGAGGACCCACTCGTGGTGAAGGCGACCGAGCTCTCGGCCTCCATCCTCGAGAAGATCCATGTCCTTAACTGTCCGTCAGACTTCAAGGAGGCCGTGAAGGGTTTGAAGGCGCACTGCCGTGGCATCATCCTTGTGGATCAGCCAACCTCGAAGGCTAAAATCATTCTTGATTCCTTGGATTTGGCTTGGCATGCAGTCGCACAGGCTCTGCCAGACCCGATGAAGTACGTCAGTGTGGGCATCACCATTGGACGGCGGTTCGACCTCATCCCCTTGGTCACCGCCAGACTCCACAAACTCCTGCCAAACCGTCAGCCGTTCGTCGTCCAGATGACGGCCGGGGATGGCCAGACAAAGAACAAGAGGCCAAGCTACTTGATCTACCAGCCCAGCACTTCGTCAGACAAAGACATGGTGCCAACAACCGTCCCGTGCAACCAAGTGCGGGCGTTTTCGTGGGAAAAACTGCGGTTGAGGTGCACAGATCCCACCTGTCCCCTACGTCAGGCGCCCGTCCCGGAGGACACTGACGAACCGCCGCATGTCGACGAAGAGTTCCCGTCAGACGACTTGGAAGGCCGCGACCAAGGCCAAGACGAGCAGGACGTCACAGAGAAGCTTTGTGAGCCAGACCTTGATGTGGAGATCGACAAAGCCCCGAAGAAGAAGAAGAGCAAGGCCGAAAGAGAGCTGGCCCGGGAGTATAAGGTCGATGTCTGGTTGTTTGCAAACGCGCAAGACCACTACGTCAAACTCCTGCAGGGGGCTTTCCAGAGCTCACAGGCCTCCTGGTCAGTGGTGACCACCCGAACTTCGCACCCGGGGGCTCTTGTGGCATGCCAGACCCAGACCGGCGAGGCTGGTCCTCTGTGGCGTTTGCAGGCGTTGTGTCAGTCTCTACTCGGGGTTTCGTGCTGCTGCCGTGTCTTGCTCCCTGCCTTCAGGTGGTCGCCCTCGTTCAGGGTCCTTCACGGCACAGCATGGAGCACGGCAAGGTGCTGCTGGAAGAGATGGCCGCGCACTTGAAAATGGATGAAGCAAAACGGCTCATCGGCAACAAGAGGGCGAGGCCTGTGCAGGCAGATGACATACCGTACATCTTCATGCAGGCCCCTCCTTGGCAAGAACAGGTCGTGTATGTGAAGGAAGTGAGCCTGGGTGCCTCGCCTGGGCCCTTTGATGGGCTTAACCGCCGGGTGTCAGACTTGGAGACTGGGATGGAGAAACTCTTGCGCAGAGAACTCTCGGCTTGGGACCTTGCGTTGGCCATGTCAGATGGCAAGACTGCTGCTCGGCTTCATTTGGGCGGTGTTACAGGCAGGTGACTAACCCTTGCAGTGCACACGTGGCTTAGGTTGCACTGCAAGCCCGCAAGTCATACAGGGACGGAGAGATTGTGTGCTCCGTCTCGGCTCTCCACTTCGATAGCCAAGCTGCAGTTGTGCAACTCGTGAATGCACACCCTGACCTCGCAGCACGAGTTGTCAGAGCACAAGGCAGGACTTTGCAGCTGTGACCTTTGTGTCTTTTGTCGCGTTGTTTGGTCTCTGAGTCACTGAGGGCAAGTGCTTTTGCAGTTCAGGCGTGGCCTTTGAGACGGGGCATGTGAATGAGGATCTGTATTCCGTCATGGTGGGATGCGGGGCAAGAGTCCAGCCAGTCTCCTCGGGCAGAAGAGCCAATTGTCACTTGAAGATGGATTTGTCTCGAGGCTTGTCAGACAGCCTGTACCAGATCGTGGTCAAGACCAGGAACCAGTGCGGGGTCGCCAGCGGGTCCTTTTTTTACATGGACTTTGGTTCCAGCTGGGACATGTCACTCGTCCATACTGAACACAGTTACTTGTGTATAACTTCCAGACAGCGCGTTGTTCCATGTGGCTTGTGTCTATCCACAATAGCTTTCGATGCAACTGCAGGTCTGCCGTCAGAGCCAGTGAGTCGACCAGCCTGAAGCGCTTTGTGCAGTCGTGGTTCGCAGATGGCAAGGCCGCAGGGTCAGAGCCAGACTCGAAAGACAAGGAGGAGCCTGGCAAGGGGCCGGAGCCTGGCAAGGGGCTCAAGCCTGGCAGCGAACCTGCTAGCAAGACACCCGTTCAACCTCCCCAATCCAAAGATCCAGCAGAAGATGGTGGGGCGGAGAAGACGCCCAAGGGAAAGGGTAAGGGAAAGGAGTCAAACAAAGCCAAGAATGAGGTGGACCCTGTCCCGGAAGGTACCCTTGCCACCTTCGTTTCGCAGGAATACACCTACGCCCTGTCGCCAGAGCTCCTCATCACTTCCCTGCAGAAGAATCGCATGACCACAAACAAAAAAATCTTCCCCGGAACAATCCTTCACCTGACAGCCGATGGAAAGATGAAGCAATGCCACGAGAAGCCGCCAGACAGCTTCGAGTACGTGTACAAGTTGAACTCGCAAGTGATCGTGGCGGATGGGCCAGACGGCGACTTCAACAAACTGAGGATGGTTTCCGTGGAGGCGCTGGCCCAGGAAAAGGACGTGAAGGAGTTCTGGAAGTATCCGAAGTTCGCCCGAGATGCATCTGTGAGTGCTTGGACAATGACGAAGCCCAACATCTTCTTTGTGCTAGACGGCTTGCAGAAGCAGGCCTTTGTCAGATTGTGCATGATTTTTGCGTTGAAGGTTTAGTAGCCATGAGGAGTAATTGTAATTGATTCTTCTTGACATGGTGGTGCGCAGGTTCATGCCTTGGTGGAAAAGAGTTCCAAAGTGAAGTGGATGTGGGCTGTCAAGGTTCTGAATGGCAGAGTCACCCCACAAAAGCTGGCTCTTGTCCTGGATAAGCAGGTCATCGTGCCCTGCTCGAGCGGCATTTTGCAGCTCTAGTCTGTCAGCCTTGCCGTGCAAAATTTTGTACAGCGTCAGACTGTGGGGCTTGACGTGCTTGTACTTCATCACGACATGATACTTTCCCAGGGTGTTCTTGCTGTTCTACACTACAGCATTACTTGTTTGTTTATCATTGATCTTAGCCCTGATGCTGTTCCTTGCACGGACGTGATACAGATGCAGTAGTCGTTGGCCAGACATCAGAGCCCGTGGCCCGTGACTGATCTCATAGGGTTTTTAAACTTTGGGGCTGGATTAGATTTTTTAGGGTTTCAGGCTCTATTATAAATACTTTTCGTTAGAAAGTTTAGGGTTCTGAGGCTTGGTTTCAAGGCTTCGGGGTTAAGAGGGGGGGTAAGACTGTGGGAAAGTTCGCAGCCTGTTCATCAGGCCACAACCAGGCTCATTTTGTGATCTGGCCGACAGCTCAGGTCTATTAATGGACCGATCCCTAGTCAGACATTCTGTCTCTCGGACACGTGTGCGTGTGTCTTTGTGTGTGTGTGTGTGTCAGTGTTTTCCAGACGAGCCTGCTGTGAATTTGCATCTTCTTGATCTAGGCTAGTACTTAGCTGCCATCATTTTCAAGGGGCTCGTGCTGACACCACAGCACAGTCTGCAGCAGCAACAACCCCTCAAGCTGTGCACACGGGAGCGAAGGAGAGACAAACCTGGGGGCCCGTCACGCGTCAGCAGTTGCGTTGCATTGTGTTACTGGGGGCGCTGGCGCGTCAGAAGGTCGCAAGATCTCGCAGCTTCCATTCGTGAGCCTTCACCAATGTTGCAGCAATCTGGGCCCTGACAGACCGCTGCCAGCATCGATCCCCAAGCTCGTGTTCAATATTGCCTTGTGACCGACCATGACAGCCGCTGAGTACTTCACTGTGTGGTCGCCTGAGGCTGACTTGGCCACCCCTATCCTTCGACACCTTGTCTTGAAGCCGACCCTCGAGGGCGCCGTCAAGTCTTTCATGAAGTGGCGCGGCCGCGAGCGCCTTGACCGCAGCCCTCAGAAGCAGGAACGCGCTCGATGTACAGTAATGCAGACTCACCGCAGAGCTTAGCTAGCAGCTAGATAATCTTCCCTTCATCGTTCTCTGTCCAAGGTTCGGCGTGAACCTGTCCGAGAACTTGGGCAAATTTCGGCCAGACCCCTCCTCGAACTCGGCCACGGTGTTGACATGCACAAAGTTCCACGTCTTGAAGTTGACGGAAAATTTGCAGGTGCTGTGTCAGAAGCAGGGGGCCAAAATCTTGCAGGACGGAGAGTCGCTCAGCATTCCCATGTTGGATTTGAGCAACAAGGAAAATCTTGAGCGCTGCGTGCTTTTGAGCGCTACCATCTCTTCGGATCTGAGCTTGCCGCAAGATTTGTGCCAGACTGCATTGCGCTGGTTCAGCCCTGCGCAAGACCAAGTGTACCAGCGGACGTCGCTGCTGGTGAAACGCCACGTCCGGGTGAAGCCGGCTGGCTTCGTCCAAAAACCATGGCGGATGTTCTGGCACCAGCCTTCCACGTTGGCGATGTTGGCATGGGTGACAGACAAGGGCTCGGAGAACTCGTGTCTCGGCAGGTCTGTTCTCATCTGAGAGGTAGGCGTCTGTGTGCGTGCGCGCCTGCAGGATGTGCTGTTCATGGCCTGGGCCGACCAAGGATTCAGTTCAACGTTCTGGGGTCCGACAATCCATCCAAGATGACCTTTGTGGGCATCAACGATTCGCCCCTGTCAGATGCTTGGCCATTTAGCACCCACGTTAGCAAGGAGCGACACTTGACAAGACAAGGTTGTTCAAGAGCCTTTCATGCAGCAGGGATGCCAGCCAAGGAGTTCTGGTTCGCACAGCCGACCAACTGCCCGCCCGTGGTAGGCCAGGCAGGCATCACGATTGTCGTCAACGTGGTTGAGACGATGCAAGTGCCAGACATCTTACAAAAAATTCATGACCAAGACGTGAAGGAGCGCATCGATTTCCTGAAGAACGACATCCTGGAGACCGAGACTCGCCTTGAGCACATGAAACAGCATTGCCAGAAGCTGGAGAAGAGTCTGGGAGATGCCAACAAGAAACGCAAGACACCGCCAGGGGTGGAGCCCGCAGCAGATTCAGACATCCAGAACTGAATGGTAGTAGCTTCTTGAAGCCAGACTGCTATAGTGTCGTTTTGTCAGACAGTGACACAGAAATCTTCCGTGATCCTGAGCTCACGTGGCACCGTAGACACAGACACAGGATAGACAGTAGCATTACCAGCTAGTTACCAGTAAAAAGCGTGGGCTCTGGATTACCAACCTTGATTTGCGATGGCCGCTTCTGCTGAGATTGAGAACAGAAAGGGTGATGCCAGTGGGCATGCATCGAACTGCCAGACTGCCTGCTCATGAATAACAAACACTCTATAACTATACAGGCCCAGGCCCAGGCCCAGAAAGCGCTGCCCCCTGCTTGCCCAGGCCACGGCGCATCGGGTTGCCATCAAGGCCGGTTGCCCAGCTTTCCCCGTTCGACCGCCAATGATTCAAGCATTTGCGTAGTGAATGATGTCACACAGGGTAGACTTCAGACACCCAGACTGGGCCCCTCCTCAGAAGCCCAGTGCCCGAACAGTGCGTGATTCCCTTAGTTTCTAGGGTTTAGGGTTAGGGTTTAGGGTTTGGGTTTAGGGTTAGGGTTTTGTGCTCAACCTCCCTAATCCCCAACCCCCCCCCCCCCCCCCCCGCCCTTGGGACCAAAAAAAAGAAACCAGGCCTAAAACCCAGCAACCGAAAACCCTAAACCCTAAACCCTAAAACCCCGAAAACCCCGAAAACCCCTCCGAAGGCCCTCTAAACATACGCAAAGCAACAGTTCCGGGTCCAAGGAGTACAACTTGGGAGCTGGGCTTCCACTGGGTCAGCCGGGCACCTCAGAGGGTGTGGGGTTTAGGGTTTAGGGTTTCGGGTTTAGGCTTTGGGGTTCAGGGTGTTTCTTGGGTTTAGGGTGCATCTTTTCTATCTGTTTTTCGTCGTGGCCCCCAGCATTTTTGAGAGGAACCTGGGTTGAAAGGGTTTAGAGTCATCCAAAGTTTGGTTGTGCGTGAGTTCAGGTTTTTCGCCCCTTACAGCAGGCACGCGTGGGATTTCGAGTTGGCGGCTGTGCTCCGGCTAATTTGGGGAAGGGTTTGGGTTGCAGGGCGCGTGGTCCAGGTTCACTCTCGTGCGATGCATCGGCCCACCTCCTCATAGCACGCCTCGCCTTCCCCATCATGGAGCTTTCTGCTTGCTGGCCGCTTGCCCAGGCCGCGAGCATTGAACACGTCTCTGCTGCAACGCAAGACGTCTGCGACACCGGACTGTGCATCCCAGCACGCTTGCAAACTGCATCTGGGAAGGTTTTGGAGTGGCGCTTTGGGAACGGGATGCGGTTGGGTTCCGAGTGAAGTGTGGCAGGGGCTGTGTCACTGTGCATTCGCATTGCAACATTGCCGAAGCTGTTTCAGACAGACGTGGCTTTCCTGAACTTATAATAAACGAAGAATTTCGGTAGTTCTGCTAGACTCCTGCAGGCAACCAGGCATGCATTTGAGATTCGGATTCATGTGTAAGGGCCGTCAGTAGGCTGCGAGAATGGATCCGCCAATTTCGCTGGAAGTGGAGGATGCTGCTGCCATGTCAGATGCGAGTTCCATGACTCTGTCGTGGCCTACCGGCTCTCCTCTTGTCCAGCCGCAAGACCCGGACCTGGACCTGACAGCTGATGTCATCCAGTTGGAACCGGAATGCAGCGAGCAGGATGGGGCGATTTTGGAAAGCATGGTTGATGTCGATGTCGATGAATGTACCGACTGCCCTGGCCAGACTGAGGAGCCTGGGGTATGGACTCGTGGGATGAATTGTGGTGCTTATGTAACATCCACGCTGCCTTTAAACATTCAGTGCAAAGTGGTCCTGGCAAATGTACTTGCCAACGTAGAGACGCTTCCTGTGAACATATTGCGAGAGATTCTTCCCTTCTTGCCGACGCGAAAGTCGCACAGCACTTCTTTGAAAACGAAGGTAGCAGCAGGGCTCACTGGCGTGAGCCAGTCTTCTTTTGACCGCATCAAGAAGATGGAGTTCCCGGCCCCTGTGAGCTGCAAGACAAATGCTCCAGCTGCTGTTCCGAATGAAGGTGAACGCAGCCAGTCCAGTCAGACGCATGACAAGAAGGAGGACCAGCCAGACAAAGGCATTGTGGACGTCACGCAAGACTTTGCCCTACGAAACCTGGTAGATATCGCCCTCAGCAACGCCTGCGAGGGCAGAACCTTTCAGGCCTTCGAACGTGACGCTGAGTCTTGACAGGAATAGGACTTCACTTTCTTTGTTCGAGCTTGTGCTTTGTTAAAGTTAGGGGTGAGAGGGTCAGGAATACATGGCTTTAGGGTTTAGGGTTCAGGGTTTCGGGTTTGGGGTTGAGGGTTCCTTGGTTTGTTCGTCTGTGGATGTGAGGAACGCAATGCTCGCAGAGGCGTCGATTTGGGCCAGCTGCCTAAGAGTCGCGCGATGTGTGCCGAGATAGAGTTTTTTGCCGCACGTGCTCTGCAGTGCATGGACACTCTAGACCTGGAGACCCGGCTACCAGGCCTGGACATTGCGTCAGACTTCGCTATCATGATGGATGGAATGGCTTTGGGCCGAAACTCCTTTGCCAGACGAGAATCCGTCTTGGTTGTCAGTTTGCAGCTGGTGAGCCCGCATTCGGGCCAGCTGTTGACACCCATGATCGGTGCTAAATCCTTGGGTTTGGGCGATCACACAGGTTTGAACATGAAGCAGCTGGCGCTTGAGGTGCTAGGAAAGCACCCGTCAGACCTGAGCATGAAACTTGGCCTTCTTCTGGCTGGCTCTTAGGACTTTAACCTTTTGGGTTGTTGAAGAACCGAAAAGAAGGAGCTTAAAAGTTAAACTTTTAGGAGGGGATCAGAAGTCAGCCAAGGAAACGCCTTCGCCAATCCGCTTCCATCATTGTGGGGGATGGGGCAATAGCGGCTGGTGGGCCCAGGCACAGGCATAGCTCTTCCTCCTGCGCAGAGCTTCTGTGGCAAGACATTTTCCCAGACTCTGCGTGTTGGGCTGCGCCCGTTATGACAGAGTGGGGCCTGATGCACCGAGAAAACTCTGCGTGCGACAGGGCCATGCGGAATGTGCCGGCCGCGGCCGAACTGTCTGACCTGGTGCAAGTCCTGGACAAGTTGTTCTGCATGGGTGATGGAAAAGCTTCTTGGGCCCCAGCATTCGTTGTCGCAATCCGTGTAGGCTGCCTATGGTAAGACAAGAATTTGTTTCACCTTCTAACCGCCCGGCGTCAGTCAGCCCAGGCTCTATTGCGCGGCACTGCAGATTTTCTGGGACTGGCAAAGCCATCTCTGCGAACTCCCGGAGGCACCCGTTTCTTCAGTTATTTTCACATGGGCCTCATGAAAAACTTTAAGTCAGTGGTGGCTGCAATGCACGCCAAATTATCATGGAAACACACTGGCCACGGCAAGACACCACTGCACATGCTCTACAGTGTTGGACGACGGCTGACGAATGTGGCTTTTGTCTGTTTCGCCCTTGCGTTTGAAGAGGTGGTGCCCAAGGTCATGGTACCTTTTACTCTTATGGCGCAGAAGGCTGTTGAGGTCCAGGACATCGAGGGCTTAGCCAACAAGACTCTGAAGCAGCTCAAGGAGCACGCTCAGGCTTTGCGAGACACTGAGAAAATGGTTCGGGTCGCAACGTTGATCCGCCAACACGTTGGGCCTGGTGATGTTGTCAGACTTCTGGCAGCTTTGCGGTACACAGCAGCTGCGCGCCTGGCGCCAGGCGTGCTTCGGGGCATCATGGAGATGATCTACAAAGTGCCTGCGAAGTTCCAGAGCTGCGTTCTGCAGACCACTGAAAGTCCTGATGACTCGCGCCAGACCTTGGGGCCACACTGCCAGTGTGAACGCCGCAATCAGTTTTTGCTCAGAGGAGGCAGCAGAGCTTCCTTGAAAGCCAATAAGGCGCCCTTGACACTCCGGTCGCATGCGACTGGACGGCGTGTGCAAGTGAATGTGCCACTGTGGACTCTTGATTCCAAGGATGTCGCAGGCGAGTGTTCTGGACCTCGAGCGCAGATCCACAGCAAGTCAGACAAGATCATGCTCCCAAAGCCCACGGCCAAGCCTGGGGACCCGCCCGCAGTCCCTTTTTTCAGGCAGCACTTGACAGAGTATTCGCGTTGCATGGTGCCAGAGGGCGTGTATCAGGTGAGCAATGACATCAGTGCTGCTTTGTCCCATGCAGTGCAAATGTTGGAGGCTTTGCATTTCGAAGTGTCAGAAATGCAGGGCGACGTCGGCGTCAATGATGACATGCAGCGAGTGCTGGGTCTCGGCTTGCGTGCTTTCGATTGGCACAAGGTCCTTCTTGATCGACCGACCCAACAGCAGTGCAACGACTTTCTGGCTTTTTGCAAAGAGATGAAGCCCATGCTGAAAGAGACCGCGTGGCCTGAGAAGGAAGAATTTGACGTTGTCAGGCGGGCCTTGATCATACGTGATCGTGTTTTTCTTTTTTGTCCAAAGAAATAGGGTTTATAAGGGTTGAGCTCCTAAAAATGGTATCACGGCTGCTTTCGGGCTTGGGGACGTTTCTTGTCGCTTGGGCAGGCGCACATGGGATATGCCAGACGCTGAGTTGATCCAGCAATACAAGCTTTTCGTGAGCAGACTTCGAGTGGCGTGGAGAGGCTTGCTTTCTGTCCCAGCAGACGTTAGAAAAGCTGCAAAAGAATGGGCCCTGCCGGAACAGTACGTCGTGTTGCCATTGAAAGTTCATGCTGGATTGATGGCTTTACGAGGCTGTTTGAAGAACTGTGGCCACGCAGACCTCTGCAAGATCATTGCGCTGATCTCTGCTTCTGTTGCGGGCAAGCCAGACACCTTTACCGTGGAAGCAGACTGCGCCTGGCCTGCTTCAAAAATCCTTGTATATTGAGCTTTTGGGCATCAGGGGTCAGCGCGAGTGAGAGGCAAGTCGCCAAAACTGGCGCAGGAGGGAGCCATCATCAGGCCTGGAGAAGTAGCTTCTGTGGCAGCCAAGATGGTCATGGTTGTGGATGTCGAATGTCAAATAGATTATGCAGCAGTGGCCAGAGATGTGATGATGAAGCGGTTCTTTGCACTTCCCACGCGCGATAGCCGCCCCGCTTGGCACGCAGCGCGAGCTTTCCTTCGCTTTCGCATGCTCCGGGCTCCGGAAGCTGCGGTGGAACGGATCGGCTCGATTCTCCATCACCAATTCAACACCATGGCACAGTTGGCTCCAGCGCAGGCTGTGGACAGGGCGTTGCTGGCCCAAGGATTGGTGACATGTCTCGGCAACGAGAGGGATGACCTGCTCAAATCAGCCGTGATGCAGAGCATGTGCCAGAGTCGGAAGCAAGTGCTGCGCCGTAAGACTCCTGTGGTTCAGCAGGTGCTTGACAAGAGCGGGGCTTTGGAGAAGAGCGGCCGCTTCCACGAGTATTTTCCTGGACATTCCACAGCTGATATGGTTGCTCTCGTGGCCCCAGGCGGGATGCAAGACCTTGAGATGGGCGCTGGCAGGCTGCGCCAGATACTGAGAGAGCATCGTTTGGCGTCAATTCCCACAGCATTGCCAGACAACCTCCAAGCTGCACTTGCGAGGGTCACCAAGGGAGGGCCCAGGTCTTAGTTGTTCGCGCGTGAAAACGTGTTGTATTTCAGACCCTGAATTTGGGTCACGGGTTTTTGTTCTCCTCACGATGACTTGTTCGTACATTGCAACAAAGGATTGTGGAAGCTTTGCCCCAGTCGAAGGAGTTGGCCCACGACAGACGGAAGGGCAATGTGGCACCGTCAAGCATGAAGAGTCATCTGCTGGAATGGTTGAAGAGTGACGAGGGCCGTCGGTACCAAGAAGCTCACATGAAGTTGTGGAAGTCCGGCCTCCATGCCTGAACAGACGTTGTCGACCCCTGCTGCGCGCAAAGCCCGGCCCAGGGCCAGAACATGTGAACCTCTAAACCCTCAACCCTCAACCCCATGCCACGCAAAGCCGTTTCAGATGCGGCGGTCGGAGTCGCTGTTGGTAAGTAAGTGAGACTTTTCACTCAGGGGTTCGGGTAGCTGGGGTAGCTAGACCCCTCCCCCCGGTGCGAATCTCTGAACCTGTAAAACTTTAAGCCTCGAAGCCATTTCTTAATGATCTCTGTGCCTTCAGGGAATTCGCAGGCTTCCGGATCGTTGGTAAGTTAGACTGTTCACACAGAGGTTCAGGTAGCTGGGGTAGCTAGACCCCTCCCCCCGCACTCTCTGCCCAAGCGAACCTCTGAACCTCTGATACTCTAGGCCCTTTGTCTCCCTCAACCCCATGCCTTCAGGAAATTCGCGTGTTTCCGGATCGTTGGTAAGGAAGACTTTTCACACAAGGGTTCGGGTAGTAGCTAGACCCCTCTCTCTGAACCTCTGAGACTCTAAGCCCTTTGTCAACCCTCAACCCCATGCCTTCAGAGATTTATTTCACATGCTTCGGGAGCGTGGGTAAGTAAGACTTTTCACACAGGGGTTCGGGTAGCTGGGGTAGTCTATTTCCCCACCTCTAAGCCCTTTGTCAACCCTGAACCCAATGCCTTCAAAATCGTGCCAGGTGCCGACACCGGTTTCGTGCACTGAGTTTGCCGGGCCAGCGTCATCGTATGCAAGACAGAGCTCAGCGCTTCGGAGTCATGGGTAGGTAAGACTTTTCACACAGTGTCGCGTTTGCAAGACAGCAGTAGGCGCTGTCAGACTTGATGCAACTTTGGAAAGACCGCTTTTAACCAGGACACTCAGCGCTTCGGGATCGTGGGTAAGTAAGACTTTTCACACAGTGTCGCGTTTGCAAGACTCAGCAGTAGGCGCTGTCAGACTTCCCGCCAAAGGACATAAGTTTTCACCAGACTCAGATGCAACTTTTGAAAGACCGCTTGAGACCAGGATCCTCATCGCTTCGGGATCGTGGGTAGGTAAGACTTTTCACACAGTGTCGGTTTGCAAGACAGCAGTAGGCGCTGTCAGATTTCCTGCCAAAGGACACAAATTTTCACCAGACTCAGATGCAACTTTGGAAAGACCGCTTTTAACCAGGATAGCAGTTTCAGGCCGACTTGGTTTAGCACGGGTCTGCACCACAGGTGGCGCCCAAATGTGCCCTGCTCGTGGCCACGGTATTGCACTTCTTTTCTCTTGCAGCCAAGATCCCAAGCCACAAAGACTTCCCCCAAACCCTTTAAACCAGCCCTAAACCCTAAACCCTAAACCCTACATGAACAAAAAAAAGGAGAACCCCCCCCCCCCCCCCCCCATACTGCAGGAAGAAGGGCGGGGGGGGGGGGGGGGGGTTGGGGGTGGGGGGTTGGGGGGGCTGGCAGGGGCGACTCACGCCATAGGGTTTAGGTTTAGGGTTTAGGGTTTAGGGTTTATAGGGTTTAGGGTTTAGGGTTTAGGGTTTAGGGTTTAGGGTTTAGGGTTTACATTCCAAACCCGAAACTCGCAGAGGCTCAGAGGGAGCGCGAGTTGGAGCACCTCTGGCCAGTTTAGCCGGGGCGTGGTTAGGTCTTGGGGTTTAGGCTTTAGGGTTTAGGGTTTAGGGTTTTAGGGGGGTGTCGGCGGTCTAGGGAAACCCCAAACCCCAAACTGTAAGAGTTTAGGGTTTTGGGTGTTCGGGTCCGGGGGTTCCCTTTTTGAAAGTTTTCCGATAAACCCTAAACCCTAAACCCTAAACCCTAAACCCCAAAAAAGGCTTCCTCATAGCGGTTCAGGCCCAGTTCAGACTCGGCTTCATGAACACTGCGCAGTATGTTTAACACAATGCCCCCTGACCCCCATCCCCCGACCCCATCTTAGGGTTTAGGGTTTAGGGTTTAGGGTAAGACTGATCCAATGCCCGATAAACCCCACTATCAGGATTTAAGGTTTAGTTGCGGAGACTTCCCCCGCTCTTGTGGCGTTGAAGGTGACAGCAGAGAGAAAGAAAACACATGGTGTCACCAGCTGTTACTGGCGCAGAAGAGCTCAAGGAGTGGGTAGGGTAGGATTCGAACCCTAAACCCTAAACCCTAAACCCTAAACCCTAATCCTAAACCCTAAGCCCTAAACCCTAAACCCTAAACCGGCTGCGCTTCGTGCTCCGGTTCCTGGAGACTTCAAGTTCCCCGAGCCTTCGCATCATTTCGCTTCCGTGCCTCTGGGAGCCGCCCCAAAGTGCGACGAGCTGGGTGCAGAGGAGCTTAGGGTTTAGGGTTCAGAGGAGCTTAGGGTTTAGGGTTTAGGGTTTAGGGTTTAGGGTTTAGGGTTTAGGGTTTAGGGTTTAGGGTTTAGGGTTTAGGTTTAGGGCCTAAGTTTAGGGTTTAGGGTTTAGGGTATCTTCGGGTATTCGAAATCCCTTTCAAGTTATTTTTCTCCCAAAATAGCGGTACCCCTTATATACCCCAAAGTACTTTTGTCTTCATGGTGGAACAACTCCCCAAGTGTTAGGCTTGTTTGGACCCCGAAAGGTTTCGGGACCCTGATCCCTCAGCTTAGACCTAAGGGTCTCTGTAGGCTAGAACCTAAGCACGAGCAATTTGAGGGGGTTGGCGCCTGACTGAAGAAGCCTTGTAGGCCTCTAGGCCCACTAGCCTTCTTCTGGGTATCTCTTCCTTGGTAGCAAACCCTAAACCCTAAACCCTAAACCCTAAACCCTAAACCCTAAACCCTAAACCCTAAACCCTAAACCCTAAACCCTAAACCCTAAACCCTAAACCCTAAACCCTAAACCCTAAACCCTAAACCCTAAACCCTAAACCCTAACCCCTAAGCCCTAAACCCTAAACCCTAAACCCTAAACCGTCTGCCAGGCCTCTACATCTGGCCAACCTCTGCTGGTCCTTTGCGAACGTGTCCCGCGCGGACGAGTCCGCGGCTTGAGCTGGGTTTGGGGAGGTCGTGCTGAAGCGGCCCGAAGCCCAAAAGGCATCCAAACATCAGATAGGTAATAAAGAATGATTATCAGTATTCCCGTATGGTCCCCAAACAAAAAGAGTACAATAACCCCCAAAACCCTATACATAGTAAGGCCCCTATATTCGTTATTAAAGCAGGCCGCGGCCTGGACCCTAAACTATTCAACCCTTTACCCGAAGGTCTAGCAAATCGCGAACCGCGAGCTTCTGAATATAGACTCATTTGATTCGCTTGTTTGTGGTTCAGGGTTTAGGGTTTAGGGTGTAGGGTTTAGGGTTTAGGGTTTTAGGGTTGTCTTCGCAACCGCACGTGTCTTTGCGCCCTGAGCACTTCAATTCAGCTTACATGCTATCTGGAGACCCAACAGGGGCCCTAATTTTGTAGAGTTGGGGTTTAGGGTTTAGGGTTTAGGGTTTAGGGTTTAGGGTTTAGGGTTTAGGGTTTAGGGTTCAAGGGTTCAAGGGTTCAAGGGTTCAAGGGTTCAAGGGTTCAAGGGTTCAAGGGTTCAAGGGTTCAAGGGTTCAAGGGTTCAAGGGTTCAAGGGTTCAAGGGTTCAAGGGTTCAGGGTTCAAGGGTTCAGGGTTCAGGGTTCAGGCTAACTACCCGCTGTGTTTTTTCTCCATCCTACAAGCCCGAACCCATTCCCCTTCAACCCCTGCAGCTTAGAGCTTCATTACGGCCTAAGCCTGGACCCTAAAGCCCTAAACCCTTAAACCTCAACCCTAAACCCTGAACCCTAAACCGAAACCCTAAAGCCTAAAGCCTAAAGCCTAAAGCCTAAAGCCTAAACCCTAAACCCTAAACCCTAAACCCTAAACCCTACACCAAGCCACTGCTGCCCCCAGGCTCAATGACTTGCGCCAACCCGGGCAAAGACATGCACCCCTCTTTGCCGCGCTCACAACTACGGCCTCGAGGCGCTGGACCTGGTTTGCTTCGACCCTCTGTAGGGTTTAGGGTTTAGGGGTTTAGGGGTTTAGGGGTTTAGGGGTTTAGGGGTTTAGGGGTTTAGGGGTTTAGGGGTTTAGGGGTTTAGGGGTTTAGGGGTTTGGGTTTAGGGGTTTAGGGGTTTAGGGGTTTAGGGGTTTAGGGGTTTAGGGGTTTAGGGGTTTAGGGGTTTAGGGGTTTAGGGGTTTAGGGGTTAGGGTTAAGGGGGCTAAATCCTAAACGCTATTTGCCCGAAACCCTACTTAAACCCTTGCTTGGAGGTTCACGCATACTTTGAATAAGTTTTTTTTTAGTACCCTCAGAACGGAGGCTCATGGGTGCTTCTACTGAGCTACTAGATTCTTATAGCCTAATAAGTAGAGAACCCTAAACCCTAAACCCTAAACCCTAAACCCTAAACCCTAAACCCTAAACCCTAAACCCTAAACCCTAAACCCTAAGCGGGCTTTAGGGCTTCGGGCTTTGCGGGGTTTGGGGGTTCGTTGTGTGTGCTTAGGCCCTCTCTGGTGTCATTGGGTCTGCACCTGGAAACCTCCGCCCTAAACGGGCAAGCCCGCCACCCCCACAACCCTCAAATCTAAGGGTAGTTATACCCAAACCCTAAACCCTAAACCCTAAGCCCTAAACCCTAAACCCTAAACCCTAAACCCTGGGGTTGTGTAGAGTAGAAAGGGCATAAGAGGGGCCCCCCTTTAGCTACTCTAAGATGAAAGAGAGCAAGGTTTAAATGGAAGGCAGGGTTTGGGGTCTAGGGGTTTAGGGCCTTTAGGGTTTAGGGTTTAGGGTTTAGGGTTAAGGGTTTAGGGTTTAGGGTTTAGGGTGTAGGCTACGGTGTAGGGCCTACTTTCTCACTGCGAGACCAAAACGCTATCCATGAAGCGCTACCTTGATCCCATGCTGCATGTCCTTTTCTACGGTACCCAGTCCTTCTGTCACATAGTGCCAATAAGCTATAGGCTTATTAAGACTTCTGCAAGAGATTAACCCCGACCCCCCTGAACCAGTCACACCCCCAAACCCTCAAACCT